GGATTGAGGATTTTGTGCAGAAGGTTGTGGGACATAAGCAGAGGCTACACGGGAGGTGTGGGGGGTCCCTGCCTAGAAATGAGGGGCTGGGGCTGAGGGCAGGGCCGGAGGCTGCTCTTTACCTCGAGGGAGCTGGTGTCTTTGATAACTGAACCGCTGCTCTGACCAGGAGCACCGGGTCCACCTCTGGGCACAGTCCTCTGTTGTCTCCCACTGATCCCTGGTCCCAGGAGGGCTCTGGCCCCAGACGTGCAGGGCCATGCAGGGTTCCGCTCAGGTGTGGAGTCCATGTCGTCTTGGCCACTTCCTAGCTGGGCAGCCCTGGAGCTTGCCATCCTCAGAAGGCCTGTGCGTTTGATGGTGTCACCCCAAAAGATATGCCAGCATCCTCGCTCCTAGAACCTGGGGTTGTGTCCTTAGTTGGAAATAAGGTCTCTGCAGATGTAACTAAAGGTCTCCAGATAAGCTCATTCTAGATTGGGGTGGCCCCTAAATCCAGTGACAGGAACCATCCTCCCTCAGTGTCCAAGGGGAATTGGCTCAGAACCAGGAAATGGATGGAAATCCATTTCAAGGACCTTCTGTAACATCTAGTGTGTGTAGATCTTGCGCATGCCCTCCCATGGACTTACCCCCGCCGCCCGCCGTTGCGGACCGTCTCCTTCACCGTGACTAGTGCTCAGCAGCTGCGTGGCCGTGCTGGATCTGCGCATCTTCAGTGTTAGTGAATTTTTTCTCCATGTGATTCTGATCTGCAGTTGGTTGGGTTCACGGATGTGGGACCTGCGGATATGGAGGGCCGACGCCATGACTATGACAGAAGGTAGCGGAGGGCAGGTCCAGAGAAGCCCGTGTCATGGGGGATTGGAGGGTCGTGGCCACAAGCCAGGGAGGGCCTCCCCCTCAGGTGGAAGCAGCCCTGCGGATGCCGTGACTGGGCCTGCAGCCTCCTGGACCGTGAGAGAACACGTCCCTGTGGTTTGGGCCACCCAACCTGTGGTCCTTTGGCAGCCCCAGGATACTAACATGGCTGTCACGATGCTTAGCTGCATGGAGACCTGGGCATGGCTCTGCACCCCAGGGGAGAGCCTGAGGAACACCCAGTGGGCCCACCCCAGAGGCCCAGGGATGGGGTGGCACAAGATGACCAGAGTGTGTGGTCCTTCCAGTCCCTCACAGCCCCACTGACGCTGGGGCCAACCTGAGACACCTCTGGGGCTTGGGAGGTCCCTTCAGAGCCAGGGCAGTGGCGGGGACATCTGTCCTCAACTGTCATCCCCTCTGACCCCAAAGGCCAGGCGCTGCTGAGTGGTTGGTCACAATCGAGGGTTTGAGGTTCATGGCCTGGGGATGGTGTTCTGGAAAAGTCCAGGGCTGCTGCTAGCAGGCAGCAAGCGAGGGACCTGTAGCACTTCCCTCAGGTCTGCCGCAGCCGCACAGCTCTGGTGCCAGACGCAGCAGCGACCATCCGACCAAGTCCCAAGTGCTGGCCATCTGGTGGGCTCCGGAGGCTAAAGGACGGACATTCATGAGGCGGGGCAGTTCAGACGTGGTCGTTGAGGTGACACAAGCCAGGAGATTGTGGAGCCATGACGAGAGCACAGGTAGCCCAGCCGGTGGTGCTGTACCGAGGTCGTGGCTGTCATTTGACTCCCACGCTTCAGGAGTGAGAGGCGAGCTCTGAGGGACGCTGGGCGAGGGGTGCTTGGAGCTCTCAAGAGCATCTCTGCCATTTTCTGTAAATCTACAACTTTCCCGATAAAAACAGTGTCAGGACAGTCACAGAGCCAGGGCCTGCTGTGGCGGCGACGGGGGCTACTCCTTGGGTGGGACAGGGAGGCCCCTCCAGGATGCGGGTGGAGGTGGGCTGGCACAGGAGAGGCCCTGCGGGAGCCGGGCTGGACAGAGTACAAGGTGGGGGGCCAGGGCATCGGGGGCCCATTCCCATGACGGGGGAGTCTGGACTCTGACCCTGGTCTGTCTGACCCTTAGGCCACGGTGAGGGGCACCCTGGGAGCTGTGGCCTGGGCTTGACGTCCTCTCCAGGCCTCAGCTCCTCATCTATGGCCCTTTGTCGGCTCTCATGAGTCTGGGGTGGAGGGACGTTGTCTGGAATCTTCTGTGCCCTCCTAGGAGGTTCCTCCAGGGCCAGGCGTCTGGTCTGACCTTGGGTTACATCAAGGTCAAGACTGACTGTCACTGGAGTTGGGTAGGAGGGAGTGGCCGAGCCACTGACGGAGCCTTCCAGCCTCCTACCTTGGTCTTATATGGCTTGCAGGTGGGCCTGTCCCCAGCCGGTGACCATGAGCTCAGAGGGCAAGAGCAGTGGTGTCTGTCCATCCCTGCGCGTGTCCGTCCATTCACCCGTGTGCCCCGTGTGCCCCGTGTGCGTGTGTCCACCAGCAGTGTTGCTGCAGTTCTGTGCGGTCTCTGGCTTCAGGAGCACAGCATGGTGGGGGACAGGATGATGACGCCGGGAGAGGGACATAACAAGGGATGTGGCGTGACCGCAGGACGAGGTTGAACTAACTCCAGTGCCTCAGTGCCCAGCAGCTCGCTGAGCTGAGGCGTGAGGTCCACTGGGTAGAGAAGGGTCCTGCTCCCAGGGGTTTCCAGCCGGGCCTGGGGGGCTGTCAGTGCCTACAGATTCAGGGAGTCCCCACGTCTACTCTCAAGTTGGGCAGCGCCAGGAGGACTGTGCTCATCCGGAACTGTCACAGGGTGGATTATCACAGCAGAGGGACGTGGGTTCAGGTCAGAAAGGGAATTGGAGACTAAGCAGTGACTTCCAGTTTCCCCTCCAGTGGAGTCACGTGGACAGTGTTGGAACCTCCCAGCTGTGTGTGACAACAGGCATAGTGTACTGCCAACCGGGGATGTTCCCTGGCCTTGGGGGCTGAGGTTTTTACTGGGGGTTTGTCCTGTCCACGTGGATAATCACCAGGGTGGCTGACATCAGTGTCTAGCTCCTCCAGAAGCTGAGCTGATACTGGGTGGCCCAGGGCCTCCGCCCTAAACCAGTGTGGACATGGACATCTAGGGTGGCCTGAGGCCCTGGGGATACAGTAACTCTTTTTTTCGTGGTACTAGGCATGGAACCCCGGACTCACAGGCTAGGCAGGTGCTTTGCTCCTGAGCTCCACCCCCAGCCCTTTCTATTTATTTTGAGACAGGGTCTTGCTAAGTTGCCCACACTTGCCTGGAACTTGGGATCCTCCTGCTCAGCCTCTCAAGTAGGCATGTAGCACTCAGTGACAACCGTCCTCCATGACATTCAGTCCAGACCTGCTGGGTTGGGGCATCACAGGAAAGAGGTTTGGACAGAGGTGGGACCTGGGGGCTGGGAGCATCCTGTCAGTGTCCGATCCTATGAGAGGATCAGCAGGTTGGCCTCGGGCTCTTGCTGACGCCGGGTCTCCTGCGTGGACAGCATGAGCCGATGAGCGCCTCCATTCGTGCCCGACCTCTGCGCACAGATGCGCCCTGTGACTGAGTCTAGGGAAGGGGAAGCCGAGACCTGGAGGGGTGGAGGGCTTAGGCCTCAGAGGCCACAAGGTCCACAAAAAGTGGACAGAGCACGGGCTCCTGCCCTACAGCTCTGACACAGGAGGATGTGGATGAGGTCGTGGGAGGTCGGAAGGGACCTGTGCCCAAGCAGAGCAGGGGGACAGGAGCTGCAGGGGCCCCACCCACCCTGCCTGGCCTCCCCTTCTGGCCTGCAGCTGGCCTGTTTGTCTCGCATGTCTGCCAGGAGGGACGCAGTGGGGTGTTCTTGGTGGGCGTGGCTGACGGGCAGCCACTGTGGGCCGGGGCCTCCCAGCCTGACCCCGGGCCAGGCTGTGCAGGTGCGGAGAGCCACCCAGGAGCACACGAGGTTAATCTCGCGCTCAGCCCCACTGCAGCTCACAGGAAGCAGCTGTTTACCTGGGCGAGGTGCTCTGCTGGGCGCTCAGCCAGTTCCCGAGCTTCGCTTCCCCCTCCGGTGTCCGAGGCCCCCCAGGAAGCTGGGGCTGGCGTGGGAGAGCAAGCAGCCAGGCGGCCAGCTCCCGAGCCTGCCAGGAGCTGTTTGTGAGGGAACGCGAGCCGGCCTTGTTGTGTACACAGAGTGGACCTAGCAACCGCCCCTGCCGGGCCGCAGCCGACACTGCTCCCACCTTGCACCATGGCAGCCGCCTTCCCGGTGGCCGGGTAGGGATTGTGGGCCATCGTCCCTGAAGGTCATCTTGCCACCCGGGCCAGGGACCTCTGCCTTTGCTCCCTGCAGATTAGAATCAGCCTGGTGGGGAGGCGGGACCACCTCTCCGCCCTGTTCTGGGGCAGCAGGGTCAGTCAGGCAGCTGCAGGCCTTGTGCCGAGTGCTGGTCGCTGTGGAGTGAGCAGCAGGGACACCGCCCCATGAAGGTGCCTGGCTGGGCCAGCTTCAGCGAGGCCCGCGGGATACCCAGAAGGAGCCTGGGGACATGGGCAAGACTCCCAAGAACTCGGGCTGGGTCTAAGGGACTCGCTCAGCCACCCTGGTCTTGAGTAGGCTGCCACAGGGATCCGAAGGGCTACTCCTTGAAAGGCGTCATTGTCCTTTGGAGACAGCGCTCTCTGATTCAGGCCATTGGAAAAATGGTTTCCCAGGTCCAGGGTTCCATCCGCAGCCAGGACAAGAAGTGGCTCCCCTGGGTGCAGGGCTCCTCTTGGGCTGGTGTCTGTGGTCTTCTCGCTCCTTTGCTTGCCTGCTGGGGCAGCCAGAGAGGCAGCTCCTCCCCAGGTTCATGATCATGGGCTTCCTTGGGGGTGCTTCCTGCCTCAGGAGGACCATTCCAGTGCCTCCAGATTCTTCGGTCATTTTTGGTCATGAGACAGTTGACCTCGTTGAGGACCCTGCAGTCTTCCTGGTGGATGTGCACCTCATCGCCTAGGTCCTGTGGGCACCCTGGGGGCTGGGGCTCTGTGAGGTGCACTCGGAGGTACCCCCTCCCTCACGACAGCGGGCAACTCGTCTTTTGCAGCTTCAGCTTCAGAAGTCCCAGTTCCTGCAACTGGGCCCGAGCCGTGGCCAGTACTACGGAGGCTCCCTGCCCAACGTGAACCAGATCGGGAGTGGCACCATGGACCTGTCCTTCCAGGTGAGCCCCCTGCAGCACTGCCTCCCCTGGGGGAGCCCCTATAGCCTCCCACCTGAAGTTGGTCCAGCTCTGACCCTTCCCTCACCACAGAGCATGTGCTGTGGACTCTGAGGGCAGTTGAGGTCACCCGACAATCGCCTGAGCCCTCCCTTCCCCTGCCTACTCTTTTTCTGTACTGGGGACATTAGGAAGCAGCGCTTCAGCCCTGGTTCACTTGCCTGTCTGCCAGCCTGTCCCCTGTGAGCAGACCCCAAAGCGAGCCCCCGTCTGGCCGCCCGTGAGCATTCCAGCAGCCCCTACACCTGTCCGCCTGCTGTGCGGCAGCGGGAAGTGCTCAGGGCCTCTGGGGCTTGGCTCGGTCCCGCCTCACTAATCCACAAGCCCAGCATTTCTCAGAAGGAGGCCCGGCCGCCTGACCCCACTTGTCTGCAAACGTTTCTTGGCAGAGACCCACACAGCGGCTCCCGCAGGCTGCAGGCCGCTGCACACGGCCTTATCGAATACAACAGGAGATAAGGTCCCAGGATCCTCTGCCTGGCCTCTGGTCTGCAGGTGGAAGCAGGAGCCGGTGGTGGGGTCAGGCTGTGATTCAGGGCCACCTTCAGGGCAGTGTCTGGGCTCTGCATGGACAGGTCCCCCCAGTGATCACACTGCCGTCCAGTGCTGGGGAGAGTTGTGGAAATAGCCCTGTCCCTGAGTGCTGGCAGGCCTGGTGGAACTGAGGGCCGTCTCCCGGGAGCTCAGTGTCTCACACCGTGGCAGGGATGGGTGCCACCGCAGGCTGGCTTGGGGTCTGCCGGGATCGGTTCCTCAGGGCGCCTCATCTAGCAGATGCTCAGGGCTCTCCTCTCTGGTTCCCTGCGTCCTCCCGGTTGAGGCCCTTGCTGAGTCGGGTCTCCCCGCCCCACCCCCCAGCTCTCCCTTCCTCTGTTTCTGCATCTCTTCTTCCTTCCAGAAGGACGTCTCTCTGGGCATCTCCTCTGCTCAGCCCCACATGGGGCCCAGACCAAGCCCTCTCAGGCATGGGGTGTGGGGTCCTCCTGGGCATCTGTCGCGGGAGGCTCATGGCCTGGGGCCCACGCGTCCTGCCTGCTGGGCATCTCAGAGTCTCGGTTCTTTGCATTTTCAGCCCAGCGGATTTCTGGGGGAGGCCCTGGCAGCGGCTCCTGTCTCTCTGGTAATTGAGCCCCCAGGCTGAGGCCGTGGCATCCCCAGCGCCAGCCTGCAAGACCCTGACATGTGTGAGGTTGCTGGTGTCCCCCAGTCCCCCATGTGGCTGCCCCTGTGGCTCCCAGGGAGACATCCTGTCCACCAAATGGAAATGGATCTGCTCCCCACTCCTGTCTCGGGAAATATGTATGGTTGCATCAAGAGCCCCCACGCCCCACACTTGGGGTCTGCCTGGGGCAGATGCCACGTCTGCATATCCCAGTCTGGGGTCCCCCTGAGCAGAATCCGAGCATGTGCCCCCAGCGCTGCATGGTCCATCCCTCCAAACACATGCACGTCCGCGTGTGCACGTGTCTCGTGGGGCCAGCAGGCAGGGCTTGGTGAGCTGGGGCGTGGCTGGCCCAGCTCCGTTCCCCTCTGGCTCGGCTTCAGCCGCCTTGGTTTCCCCTTTGGGTTTCAGACTTTCTGAAAGATAAGTGGCCCTGCCCTCTAGGCCCCACAGCGAGCCTCTTGGGGACAGAAGTGTAGCAATACCCAAGCCAGCAGGGTCTCCACTGGGTGAAAGGCAGATTTGGGAGTCCCCATTGAGTCCCCTGGACAGGCAGCCCTGAGCCCTGGTAGGTGGGAAAGGACAGCAGTTCCGGACACTGACTTTGTCCTGGAAGGGGCGGTTTGTTGAACCCCAGGGTTGCCTTTTGCTCAACTGCCCAGAGAAGACAGCAGGGCCAGGGACCAGATGGCTAGGTAGGGGGACCCACCGTGTCCAGAACTGGCAGAGGCAGCTGACCTGGCTCTGGTCAGATGGTAAGAGGGCAGCGCAGGGCCAGGGTAGGCAGAGTGCAGGCTCCCAGCGGCCCCTGGCGCACAGAGCCTGGCAGGGGCAAGGCCTGGCTGGGGACCTCGTGCAAACCCCAGGTGCTGGAAGGAAGCCCCATCCGGTGAAGTTGTGGGCCAGGGCTCTGGGTGGCGCCTGGCTAAGGTGGTGAGGAGGGTGTGTGAGGCCCAGTTTCCATGAGGAGCAGCCTTGGGCTTAACTAGGAAGCCGCCTGGGGGCAGCGCTTGGCCAGGTGGGCCAGCAGCAGTTCTCTGCAGAAGCCCCCGGCCCTCCCTTGGCAGCCCCTCCAGGGATGATGCAGCAGGGCATAGAAGGCCGTCGGGCCCTGAGGGAGAGGGCGGAGGCCTGTGTGCACCTGGTAAGGCCGGGGCGGAGGTTGCTCAGGCCGCCGCACCCCTGGCACCCTGGCCAGCACTGGGCCCCGAGCTTGTGCCGCTCTGCCTGGCCCGTGCATGCCAGCTGCACTGCACGCCTGTCCCCGGCGCCAGACACCCTGCCAGCTCTCGCACCCCCATCCCCAGTGCTCGGAGGGCTGGGGAGCTGGGGCCTCAGAGACACCCATCTCAGCCTTCAGAATGGTATCCAAGGGTGTCTCTGGAGTGGGTGGCCCTGAGATTAGATCCTGGGGCAGAGCGGGGGGAGATACCAGGTCACAGTTGAAAATCACTGTTTGGGTTTCTCTGTTTCAATTTCCCCCCACCCCCTCCTTGTTCCCAGACACCCTTCCAGTCCTCAGGCCTGGACACCAGCCGGACCACCCGACATCATGGGCTAGTGGACCGAGTGTATCGGGAACGTGGCCGGCTTGGCTCCCCGCACCGCCGGCCCCTGTCAGTGGACAAACATGGACGGCAGATATCCTTTTTCCCGGAGAACATGTAGGCAGGGATGGGGTCCCCCGGTCAGCAGCTACACGACCCCGAGTTGGCCTGCAGTTGCTGATGGGGGGCCTGCTGCTGGCTCTGGAGATGGACTCAGCCACCCAGGGGGCTTCCTAGAGCAGGCAGTGCCACAAGCCAAGGAGCCTTTGTTCTGACCCCTTGGAGCTAGGGTGGCCCAGGGAGCGCCTCCCAAGGCAGGAGCTGAGGCAGGAGACACTGGCCCACAGAGGGTCCTAGCAAGGCAGTGGGGCCCAGAGGGCCATGAGTGGGAGCCCGTGTCTCAGGACTGTAGGCTGATGGGGCCCTCGTGGGCAGTGCATGGGGTGCCCAGCCCAGGCAGCTGAGGGAAGGGTCTGCGGGTGGCTCCATTTCTACAAGACGTATGTAAAATTTGCATCTGTTCCGCGGCCAAGCAGAGATCTGCCAGATTCCCCCCGCCCCAGCTCAGCCACCCCTTGGTGCTCCGCCAGCCGGGCCCCCAGCACCAGCATCTGAGCAGCCTCAGGTGGTTTCTGGGACCCCCAGCTCTGCAGAGCAGACGCCTGCTCTCTGCCGCTCGTTTCCGCGGGCTGGGGAAGCACAACCAGCTGAGTCCCAGACCGGACCCTCAGGCCCCGGGAGCGGCCCCATCAGCCCAGAATTAAGAGGCGAGACCAGGGTCAGCTGAACCAGACTCCCCGCTGTGCCTGCGGCCGGCTTCACGGTGCAGGCCCCTCTTGGACGGGGTGCAGGCCGCACGTGCACTTGCAAGAGGACAGCGTTGAGTGGTAGGTGGAGTGGGGCCGCACCCCCGGGGAGCCCCTGTGGCCTGGGCTGCTCACAGCCAGGCAGGAAAGGCCGGCAGGAAGCGCCTGTGAGGCAGCAGTGGACACCCCGCCCCGCCGGCCCCAGCTGTGTGCAGGCCTGGCCGCCACTCCTGCAGCTCCAGCAGCAGGGCCGCTGGGCTGCAGGGGTCTTCCTGCTCAGTGGCCACGAGCACTTCGGTGCAGGCAGGCCCAAGCCCACCGTGCGTCCCCTTAACTCACACTCACGCCGACAGCTGTCCATACGGCTCCGTGTATCTGTCACCACCCGCGGACACCAGCTGGAGGAGGTCAGTGGGCAGAGCTGGCTCCCAGCCCCCACCCACTCGGTGGGAACAAAACTAAACTTTCACCATAGTAGTGCATAGAAAAGCCGTGAGGGCGGAGTTACTCAAAATGAGAAAACGAAGACACATCCCCGAGTTTCTAGAAATCACTGTCACTCTATAATGCCAGCGCTCTGCCTAGGGGATCTTCAACCCGTCCTCACTTTTGTCTGTTTCTTTATTTTCTTTACCCCAAATTGCCACTTGCTGTTTCATTTGATGCTTGATGAGCAGTTTTTCATGTTACCGAACAAATTATTGAAGATGCACTTGTTACAGGCTGAGTGCAGCGGCGCATACGTGTCATCCCAGCGGCTCTGGAGGCTGAGGCAGGAGGATCAAAGTTCAAAACCAGCCTCAGCAAAAGCGAGGCACTAAGCAACTCAGAGGGACCCTGTCTCTAAATAAAATCCAAAATAGGGCTCGGGGTGTGGTCCAGTGCCCCTGAGTTTGATCCCCGCTACCCTGCCCCCTTAAAAAAGTTTTCTAGGCTTGTGCTAGAAGACTAGGAAAATGCATAAAGGTGTATAGAAGAGAAAAAGTCACATCTTTAGAACTCTGCATAGCATTCATGGTGCATTAGGTGCTATAAGTCATCTACAGATGTGCTTAGAGTCTACACAGATGCCATTTCATAGAAGGGACTTGAGCATTCATGGATATTGGTGTCTGAGGAGGATCCTGGGACCAACTTTCCAAGGAACAGATATGGAAAGACAACTGGATACACATGCACACCACACGCACAACTATATGTGCACACGCGCACACATAATTTCATGACATGATACAGTCACGTAGTTAAGTATCCACCAAGCACACATTAGCTGATACACAACAGACAACTGTGTGGCTTCGGCTGTTTTCCCATTTTAGACATAGACATTGAGCACAGAGAAGCCAGAACACTGACTCAGGGACACACAGCTGGTTGGGGGCAGGGCTAGGATCCAGGGTTCAAGACTCCTTTAACCTGCGCCATTGTATCCTTTTCTCCTTGGACCACGTTTCCTCTAGTCACTCTTAGAGGCTGGGATATCTCCACTGGGCGCACATTGGCCCTTAGTCTCCTCCTTGGATTGACAGCTCTGCAGTTGGACCCCCATTTTCCTGTCTAGGAGTTGTTCTGGGGACCCTCCCTCGAGGCACTTCTAGCTGGGAACAGATTGGCTGACCCTGGTCTTTTTTTTTTTTTTTGGTACCGGGGATTGAACCCACAGAGCCACATCCCCAGCCCTTTTTTTCTTTTATTTAGAGACAGGGACTCACTGGCTAATACTCTGAGGCTAGCTTTGAACTTGCAATCCTCCTGCCTCAGCCTCCTGAGCTGCTGGGATTACAGGCGTGGGCCATCATGCCTGGCTCACCCTGGCCTTTCTTGTCAGTTTCCCCACGGGAGTTCCCAGGACGGAGTCTCTACCAGGTTCCTTCCAGGGTCCAACCGGTTGGAGCAGGACTGCCCCTCCCCAGTCGGTTTCCCACCAAGGGGGCACCCAGGGGTCTCTCTGAACCTCCCTTTCTATCCATCACAGCATGTTTGAGACTGAGCATCTAGAGGAGATACTCACCCACTTGTGTTTGTCACCAGGAGGGGACCTAGTGACAGGCTGCACACTCAAACCCCTTAAGGCCAGGTCCCTGTGGGACCATCAGGCTCCCTCTGGGAATTTCAACAGGAAGGGCCATCCTGTCCCTGAAGCCAGAACTCCCTACTGAAGGGGCAGGCAGGGGCGGTTGGGAACAGAGGGACAGCTTTGCTGTTGATCTGGATTTCAGTGGGCTTTGTGGACAAAAACTGCCTGAGTCCAGTGGTCCTGTTCAAAATGATGTCCTTCTGCTCAGGTGCAGCAGTTTGAAAAATGACTACATCTGCCACCCTGTCCCATGGGGTATGTCCTGGGCAGGGCACATAGTGCCAGGGCTGTAGTGTGGCTGTGGTCATGACTCCTCTTCATTCTGGGGGGGTCTCACTGTCTCTCCCCTCTCCCCCAGGACCAATTCAGACTCCGCCCTTCACCAGAGCACAATGACGCCGACCCAGTCAGAATCCTTTACGGGTGGATCTCAGGATGCACACCAGAAAAGAGGTATGAGAGGGGACTCGGTGTCTTTGCTGGGGTCAGGCAAGCCCAGCAGGTGGCCCTTGTGCTCTGGAGGTTGGCAGTCCATGGGTGGACAGGCTTTCAAAGAAGGACCCAGGCTGTGCCAAGGACAAGGAGAGGGGCTCAGGGAAACTTCAGAGTGGGGCTGCTTGGATTGGGTTTTAAAGGATGCATGGGAGTTTTCTAGGCAGAGAAAGCCTTGCAAATACATGAGAGTCCAGGATTCATGGATTCAGGGTAGGGCCGTGAAGACTGGGTGCTGTTCAAATAATTCTTTCAAATGCAGGGGCAGTGAGCCTGTAAAAGGGGCATTTACCAGCTCAGGACTGCAGTCTAGGGTCGGACCTCTAGCTTCAGGCACTGCTTGATCTAGGATTTCACACTGGACTACTTTCCAGCTGTGCTGCTAAGAACTGTCCCCTGCAGCTCCTGAGCTCATCCTGGCTATAGCGGGTGAGAAAGGGCCCGTCTCTCCCCAGCTCTCGCTAGGTGCCTCCTCTCCAGGCCGCTGTGCCCAGGTCCTCAGCTCTGCCCTGGAGCCAGGCATGGAGGCAGCATCCTGGGAACCTTCAAGGCGAGTAGATGTTTTAGAGACTGGGGAGCTGCCAGGTGCAGTGGCACACGCCTGTAATCCATTAATTTGGAAAGCTCAGACAAGAAGATCCAAGTTCAAAGCCAGCCTCAGCAACTTAGCGAGGCCCTGAGCAACTTAGTAAGACCCTGTCTCAAAATAAAAAACAAAAAAGGACTGGGGGTGTGGCTCAGCAGCTAAGTGACCCTGGGCTCAACCCCAGAACCAAAACAGTGAAAGCAGAGCTGGGTAGTGTCATCTAGAGAGGGGTTGTCGACGCTGTGAGGCCATGTCCAGGAAGCCCCACGTGCATGTCATCTGGCCTGAGACCCCGAAGCCATAGAGTGACCTGGAGTGAAATGCCCAGGTGCCTCTTTTTTTGTGATAGTGTTTCACCGGGTGGGTGTATAAATGTGTCAGGAGACCCTGCCGATAGGATTGTCACTGGAACCTGGGCCCTGGGAGTCCCGACAGGCAGGCAACAGGTACAGGAGGTAGAAGGGCAGGTTCTGGGGTGCCAGCCTGGGTCATCTCCCCCCGGCCTGCAGGCACCGCCTGGGGCCTTCTTTCTGTGGCCAGCAACGAGACTCTCCTCAGATTGCTGCCTGTCCTGGTGGGTCCCCGCAAGCACAGGGCTTTTAGGGGGTAGGCAGGCACAAGGATGTCACTGTCCCTGAGGACGCTCTGTGACCATGGGAGGAAGGCAAGACCCAGACTCTTGCTGCTCAGAATCCAGCTGGTCTTGGAGTCACAATCAGAGGCATCACTCATCCCTGTGCTCCCAAGAGGGGCCCAGGCAGTGCCAGGGTTGGAGTTCCTCTGCGTCTCGCCACACCTGCCAGCCCACGTGTCACAGAGTGTGTGACAGATCTGGCTGGTTCCTCATGGCGTGCTCAGAGGCGAATGAAAAAATAGCACCTCTAGCAGGTACAGAGGCGGGGCAGCGGGCACTCTTGCCTCGACTGAAAGTCTAAGGAACAGGCTTCAGCTGTGGCTGATCTGAGTGATGCCATCCTGTTCCTCCATTCTGTCCCTCCATCCTTCTGGACCCTCTGTCTTAGAACAGTCGTCACAGCTGACTCACAAGGCTGCTGTCCTTGTGCCTGCTGACATCAGGCCTAGTGGCTGACCCCCTGTGCTCGGTGCTGGTGGCCCAAGAGGAGCCCAGCCAGCACCGAGAGGGGGAGCAGCCCAGGTGGGAGAAGACGTCTGTGTGGGGGGGCAGCCGCCCACACAGACTACGCTGTCTGCTGCCCATGGAGGTGCCACGGAGGCCAGGTCAGTGCCAGGAGGCGGACTCGACACGGCCGCGGGCTCCAGGGCTTTGGTTTTTATTTCTTTGTAAGATACAGATTCTCGGGCTTATCTGATCTTTTAAAAAATGAGACCCTTTTTTGTAACTTTAGTAGAAGCCCCAGAAATGACCATGAGGAAAGTTCCAGCTTCACCCCGGCCCTGGCCGTCAGGGAGGTTGTCCTCTTTCTGAGTGTCCCCCTCCCCTGTCCCAGTCTTACTATTAACAGTCCCAGGAATGGAGGAGACCACGACCGAAGCAGATAAAAACCTTCCCAAGCAAGCGTGGGACACCAAGAAGGTAAGAGCCCGGGGCTCCGGAGGCCTGTTCCTTGCTCCTTCAGGCCAGGCCGGGACGAGATAACAGAGTGACGCGTGGAGGTGGGTCGCCCTCCCAGACCTGCCCCCGCACAGATTTGCCTGTGCTTGGGTTCTGGGGGCCCTTAAGCCTGCTTAATGCTAACAGCAGGACTGTCACACGGCAGAAGCCACCCGTTAAAACCCGTGGCTGGTTAGGTTTCAGCAGAAAGTAGAGCAGCACAGATGGCCCATGCCAGCCCGGCCACGGCCACCTGGGTGTGGGGCAGGAGGACGGTGAGTGTGAGACCCCCCTGGGCAACTGAAGGGAGACCCTGTCTCCAAAAGGAGAAAAACCGCTTCTCCCTCCAAGAAAGAAATGGAGCAGCCGCCCTAGGAGGCTTTTCAGGGGTGTTGACACAGGAACTCCCCCCTTGGGAATGCAGTTGTAGCGAGGGGGTGCATTTAGAAGCGCTTATGCAGAGCTTTCGGAATAAGCGGGAACCACCCGAATGTTAGCGGGGGTTTGTTATGAGATGACCCCCAGTCGCTCTGAGTTGGGATTTTAAAAGGAATTCTGAGGAAATAAGAGACACTCGTGGTAATGCAGTTACCTCGCAAGGTCAGGATGGGGGTGCTTGAGGGGGGGGCTCAGGGTGCAGCAGTCGCCCTCAGCACCACACAAATCAGGAAGATAAAAAGCAAAAAAATCTAACCCGAATGAAACCGCACAACCACTAAATGTCTGGTAAAGCCGAAAAGTAGGTCCTGGTCCGTTGGCGCAGCTGGATGTCACCTTTCCATTACAGAGAGCAAAACAGGCTATTGCCTCGGAGGGGCCCTAGGGATGGCGGAGAATGAGGAGTGGCTCTTCAGTACTTCAGAAACCCGTTAATGTCTCCCGTAAAGTTCGTGGAAGGCTTTTCAAAGTATCCCTCAGAAAGCTGGCGCCCGCGGGTGGTGCAGACGCGGGTCCTGGAGGGACTGTCCACTCCAGCATGCGGAGCCCCTGGCCCCGTAGAAACCCGTCCCTGGGCATTTGCTGGGGAGGCCTGGCGCCTGCTGGCTCCCTGCCACCCCTGTACCCAAGGTGCGGCTGCCAGGCAGAGCCTCCCTCCACCAGCGGGCGCGTCTTCCCCCGCTGGTGGTTCCTGAAAGCTCGCCAGCAGTGTCGTCCCAGGCGCTGGCGGCAGACTAGAAATTAGAAAACGTGACTCGCTTGGAGGCTCCTCTCAGGAGACGGGACTGTCTCTGTCACGCCCATGAGGTCAGAAGCACAAGACCTGGGGGCCCTGCCCGTAGCCACAGTCCCCGGGCCCCACAGGATCCTGTCTCCCTGGCCTTCGTGTCCCCCACTCACAGAGGAGCAGACCGAGTCCTGCTGCCCAAACGCTTCCCTGGCACCTCTCCCTGGGGCCAGCCCACAGGGGAGCCGGGGAGGGGCGCCCAGGGCTGTCCTGCCCAGCCAGGGAGGCCCCTGCAGCACAGCAGGCCTGGCACTGGGGTCGCAGTTTACTTTTCCGTTGCTGAAAGTCCAAAGCCCGGGCAGCAGGGCTGGGCTGTGGCCCTGAATTCAGAGGCCACTGTGGGCCATGCCATATGAAGTGCCCGAGCCAAGGTGGGATTTCTTCTCCCCGCCGTGGTCCGCGTATTCTGGAAGTGTCCCTAGCCAAGCACTGAAACTGGCGTTGCCCCAGAGGCTTCCCAAGCCCTGGTCCATGGACACATGAATGCCCATATGGCAAAGAAGTGCTTTGGGACCAGATGGGGGCCACACCTCTGAGTGTCGCAGGAGGGCAGGTCCTCATGGAAGGAGAGGCCCCCTCGTGGGAGCCTCTGGACCGAGTTGAGGCGTCTGGCCCAGCCCACCTCATTCTTCCTGACCTGGTGCCCTCCACTGCTTTGGTGGCTTCTCATGGACTCGCTCCATGGCCACCAAGAAAAAAGCACCCCTGCTCTAGGCGCCCCAGCTGTCTCCGTCCAGGGACAGTGTAGAGGTGAGGGAAGCTCGGTGAGCACTCAGCCCCGGGCACCCGGGCCCCAGCAGCCCCTCTGCACAGCTGACAGCGTACTGCCATGGAAAGCCCTGGGGACATGAGGAGCTGGCACACAGGTTCTGCCCAGATGCCTGCTCTGACAAGGCACCACGTCACCCTTTGTCTGTGGCCCCCACCAACCAAGCAGCCAGAGTGGAACTGTGCCCTCTCCCTGCCAAGGGCAGGAGCTGGGGTGGGGCCTGTGGGAAGAGCCTCCCCACATGACTCTTGACTCTAGGCTCAGCTTCCTCTGGGCTCGGCCCCTCTACCTGGTGGGGCCACTTGTGTCCTCTGTGGGACACTCAGAGGCCACTATGGGCCGTGCCATATGAAGTGCCTGAGCCAAGGTGGGATTTCTCCCTCCCCGCGTGGTCCGCGTATTCTGGAAGTGTCCCTAGCCGATAAGCTTGGTGCTCGTGGAACAGCTCTTGGCGCAGTGGGAAGGTCGCACAGTGTACATGAAGAGGCCCCGGGGCGCTGGCTCAGCCTCTGCTGTCTTCTCTTTCAGACGGGGTCCAGGCCCAAGTCCTGTGAGGTCCCCGGAATCAAGTAAGTCCCTGCAGGGCCTTCCCACAAGCCCTCAGCCATGGGGGCTGCGTGGGCTCCCCCAGGCTCCCACCCGCCAGGAGCCTGCACGTCCTGGTGAGGGACACGACGGTGGCCACCCAGCAAGTCCTGTCTTGGGCCGGTTCCAGCCCCTTGCTGCCCGAGTCAGAGCCTCCTCAGACATACCCTGTCCCTGGAGAGAACAGCCCTCTCTGGGCAACAGAAAAGTGTTGTCCCCACCCTCCCCTTCCCCTCCCTGGGGGCAGGCTGCTTCCTGAAGTCACTGGTGATGCCCCGACAGCCATCTTATGAGCCTGGCAGCACCTGACTGAGGAACGTCATTTTACACCTGCTCGTATTCTCCTGATAGCCCCCTCCTGCCCCTGCCACAGTTTCTGGGGGCGACCCGGCCGGTCGGCTGGCCGCTGTCCCCAGACCTCACCTCTGCCCCTGTCTGGCCTTCCCCCAGCATCTTCCCATCCGCCGACCAGGAAAACACTACAGCCCTGATCCCCGCCACCCACAACACGGGGGGCTCCCTACCCGACCTGACCAACATCCACTTCCCCTCCCCCCTCCCGACCCCTCTGGACCCCGAGGAGCCCACCTTCCCTGCGCTGAGCAGCTCCAGCAGCACTGGCAACCTCGCCGCCAACCTGACTCACCTGGGCATCGGTGGCGCCGGCCAGGGTAAGGGCCCGCAGCATGGCCCCAAGCTCGAGGTGCCCGGGCTTTGCTCCTTGGTAGAGGACTGTCTCCTGAAGGTGGCATGTCCATTCAGATGGTGGCTAAACAGTCGTGTCCACAGTGCCAGGCACCTGGAGGGTGGAGATGAGGGGTGGCAGACCTGCCGCAGGGGCTCAGCATTGCCAGGCTGACCGACAGGGAAGGCCCCCACCTCCGCCTAGGCCCAGCCTGGGCAAAGAAGGGTGGGGTGTGAGGGGTGCATGCTGCCTCCAGGGGTCCAGTTGCAACTTTGAGAGTACCAAGTGGCTTCAGAGAGGCTGGGGAGCCTAGGAGCAGAGCTCCGGAAGTGGGTCATGCTGTCCCCCATCCCTCCTTGCCCCACCCCCTCACTGGGGACAGAAATGGGCCCGACCTGCTCCTCATCATGTCAGACAGCTTGCTTTGTGACATTTTATTCTGGCCCCTCCCTGTTCTTTACACCTGTTCCTCCCCTGGCCTGGTCCAGGGCTCGTCCCACGGGCTCTGTGCCTGTCCCAGGAGCTCCCAGCTTTGCTCTGTTCCTGTTCTTTCTGGGGATTGTCCACTGGTGGCTCCCTGAGGACTGTGGAGTTATCCCCTTTAACTCCTGTGTTCTCTCTCTCTCTCTTTCTCTCTCTCTCTCTCTCTCTCACACACACACACACACACACACACGCATAACACCCTTCCTTTATTAATCTAGACCCGGCAACTCTTCCATCAGGACCTGACCCAGCTTGACCCTTCCTCCTGCTCACTTGCCTCGGCCCTGCCCAGCCTCTTCTCTGACCTAGAACATGACCAGCCCATAACCTGCCTCTGTTGGGCCTCACCTCCCTCCCCATACAACCTTTGGAGCCCGGGTCACCCTCCACCCTCCTTCTCGTCTCCCTGCTTGCCCCACAGCTGGATGAACTCACTCAGGGCCTTTGCACATACTACCCTGATCCTGTGCTGCTCCCGCCTTACCTACCTCGTCCTACCTGTCCCCTGACTGTCCCCTGACCTCTCATGCTGTGCTGCGTTTCTGTATTTGTTCTTAGCGTTGCCACATGTTCTTCAGCTGTCCCTTGCACTGGGCCTCAACCTCCCGGGTCCCTGCCATGACACCTATACCCTTTGTTTGCTGTTTAGGGTGTGCATTTGCATCTGGGGCAGGCATCTGACTTCCAGAGAAGAGATGCCCCAGGTGGTAGGACAGGCAGAAGGGCTTCTGGGGGGCCCATAGCGGGTGTGGATGACACAGGCCCTGTTAGACCCAGAGCCATAGAACAAGCCAACACTCTCCCCACCCGTGAGCCCATCCTGCCTCCGCTACAGGTTCAGCGGCAGCTCCACACAGGCTTTTCCATGAGAGCATCACACGCTAAAAGGCATACTTGGCAGAGTCCCCCTGGCTGCCCTGGGAGAAGGGGCTCTCAGGAGGGTGTTCAGGGTCTGGAGAGAGTGGGAATTTCGTTGGGTGCTTTGCAGATAGATGTCAGGGTAACACTAACCAGCCTGGGAGCCAGGTCACCCGAGGTGGGGCAGCGAGCAGGAAGCCCTAGCTTACTCCTGTTGCAGGTGCCAGCAGGGCAGGGGGCAGGCAAGATGATGCCAGGTGTGTTTGTGTGTGTTTGTGTGTGTGTGCACGCACGCGTGCTGCTGGGCATCAAACCAAGGTCTCTCCTGTGCTAGGCAGGCTTCCTGCTACTGATCTCCCTCCATCCCCCAGAGACCTGGCCAGACAGGTGGCGCCTGCCCGCACATGGCCTGTGCAAAGTAAAATCCAAAGGTCAGCTCTGGGGCTGCCAGTGCCCCCGCCCCGCCAGTGCAGAAGCCACCAGCTTCCACACCCGTTCTCCCCATGCCAGAGCTCCCCCTCCGCTGCCTGCGGGTCCTTGGCAGGCCCCCAGAGCCTGCACCTCCATCCCGCGCCCAGTCTAAGCAAGCACAGGAAAGAGCCCACGTGGAGGTGTGAGGCGGCCAGGGTGTGGGCCCTGAGCACCGGCCCAGGAACACCCGACACCAGCGCCATTGTTTGTGGAGCTGCCGCTGCAGCAGCTCCCGAGCAGGGACTCTGCTTTCTGGGTGCTTTTTAAATAAAGCTGAGCTGCTGGCTACCGGCGCACATGCGTGTTTACCCGCTCCGGGCCCCACCACCAGCCCCACGGGGAAGAAGAGGCGCGGGGGGGGGGGGGGGGGGGGGGGGGCCCGCGCCCGACCCGCTGGGAGCGGAGGGGGGGTGGGTGGGGGGGGGGGGGGGGGGGGGGGGGGGGCCCGGGG